TTGAAGAAAAAGATTCTTTGAAGATACAATTAAGTGAAAGATGTCAAGGTGAGACATGTCCTGGATTTTAGTTGGATCAGAAACCCAATGACCAGGGGCTGGGGAGATGGTTCAGTAGAATAAGCGCTTCCCTGGCAAGCGCAAGGGCCTGAGTTCAATCCCTGGTTCCGCCAAAAAAAAAAAAAAGAAACCCAATGACCAGTGACTAAGAGAAAGAAGAAGGAGAAGGAGAGAAAGAGGAAGAGGAGGAAAGAGAGGAGGAGGAAGAGGAGGAAGAGGAGGAGGAGGAGGAAGAGGAGAAGAAGAAGGAGATACTGCTGCTGCTGCTGCTGCTGCTGCTTATTTGGGGCTGAGAGGCCCACAGAGGACACAGCCATTTGAAAACAGCCAGAGATTGGAGTGATCTTGCCAGAGTCAGAGGATACCAGGACCACCACAGCGTAGAAGCCAGGAAGGAAGGGCCCTTCCCACTTGCTGCAGAGGTAGTGTGGTCCTGCTGTCCCTTTGATTTCAGACTTCCAGCTTCACAACTGTGAGAGAATAAGTTTTCCTTTTTTCATTTGGTTTTTGAGACAGGGTCTTGCTATGTGGTCCAAGATGGCCTTGAGCTCATTATGTAGCCCAGGCAGGCCTTGAGTTTGTGGTGATCCTCCTGCCTCAGCCTGGGATTACAAGTGTGCACCACCAAGAGCCTAAGTTTCTAGTTTCTTTTCCCCCCACCCTTGATGGTTATGTGTCATGGAGCTCCTAGGAAACTTGGTACAGGCCTCTCATCCATCCTCACTCCCTTGAGAAGTTTGCTCATTTCACTATTTAAAAATCTCACCTTGGGCTGGAGAGATGGCTCAGTGGTCTAAAGCACCTACTTGAAACAAGCTTGGCAAAGCACAGGGACCGTGGTTCGATCCCCCAGCACCACATGCCAGCCAGCCCCACCCCCTTGTGGGCTGAGCTGGCCACACACACACAATAAATAAATGTAATAAATAAAAAGAAATAAATAATTAAAAAAATAAAAAAATAAAAATCTCACCTTTATTAACTGACGGTTCCAAATTTGTATCCCACGCTTAACCCTTCCCCTTAACTTGGTCAGAGCTGCTCACTGAGCAGCAGAAAGAGAGCCAGAGAAGGGGGAGGGAGGGAAGGAGAGAGGAAGGGAAGGAGAGAGGGTGGGGGAAGGAGGGGGAGAGAGGGGGGAAGGCAGAGAGAGAGTGAGTGAGCAAAAGAGATAGAGAAAGACAGAGACACTTTCCAGAGGGGAGAGGGGTCAGGCTGAGAGATTAGTCTTCAAAGCCACGCCCTCCCAGTGACCTGCTGCTTTCAGTTAGGCTCCACCCACTAAGTTTCCACTATCTTCCAATAATACCGTAATTTATGACTCCATCCCTGGCTTAATCCACTGATGAAATGAGAGTGCTTATGATGATGCGGTCACCTTGGAGATGCTCACATGACAAGGAATAGAGGCTTCCTGTCAGCAGCCACTGAGTGCACCCTCTTGGATCCTCTGTTGTCAGTCAGGCCTTCAGATGAGTGATGTGTCAGGATGCCCTTCCTTCCTTTCCTCCATTCTTCCTCACATCTCCCTCCCTGCTTTCCTTCTTCCCGCTCTATCTGTTTTGGAATTCATAGTTCCATGTAGTTCAGTGGTAAAGAACTTGCCTAGCATGCACAAGGTTCTGGGATTCACTCCTCAACATTTCTCCACATCCCAAATAAAAAGAAGTAAAAAGAAAAAAATTAAGTAAGGCCCAGTGGTGCATGCCTGAAATCCCAGCACTTGGGAGGCTGAGGCAGGAAGATCACTGCGAGTTTGAGACCAGCCAGGGCTGCAAAGTGAGCTCTAGGCCAACCCAAAGTAAATAGTGAGATCCTGTATCCTCAAAAAGACAATACAAAAAAATTTTCTATTTATTGACTATGGTACTATATGTATTACACATTCATCTGATATGTATAAGAAAGTGTTACAGAATGTTACATCATGACTTGGACTTTCTGGGGATTCAACTTGGGGCTTTTATCTTCAGAACCATTTTTAAGTCATTTATTTTTGGATCAGAATTACAATTTTGGTTAGTGTACATCAACTGCATGCATTTCTGTGGCTCACAGTCATATTTCCACTAGCATATGAGTGTCCCTCTCCTGTTTTCTACCTTCCCCCTCCTACAGCTTTCTCTGTCTGTAGCAGTCACCACTTTACTTTCGGGCTGAGTATCTTTTTAGCTTCTACATCTTTTTTTTCTCCCATAATTTTATTGAGAAATAAATAGCAATGAGATAGTTTCAAATCAAATTGGAAGGACAGCTCCAATAATTAACACATTATATACTGCCTTTCCAGTGGTTATTTGTTATACAACATGCAGACATGATATCCTATTTACAAACACAATTAGAACAAATCCCTCTATTCCTTGAATTAAAAGAATGCAGCTATATATCTATCCTAACCCTTTTGAATGCACAGATACAAAATGAGCATTCATCTGTATCCCCTTTTTTTGTTTAGTTCCATCATTTAAATATTATAGGTGTGTGAACTCAGCAAAATATTCCAAAATATTCCAGTAGTCCGTAAGAGTATTGGGTCTTCCACTTGACTGCCAATGTCAGAAGTTGTTGACCTGAGTTCTCTACAGCTCAACATAACAACATGGCTTTATTTCTTTTTTAATGTGTGTGTGTGGCCAGCTCAGCCCACCAGGGGGCGGGGCTGGCTGGCATGTGGTGCTGGGGGATTGAACCACGGTCCCTGTGCTTTGCTAAGCTTGTTCTAAGTAGGTGCTTTAGACCACTGAGCCATCTCACCAGCCCCCCCCCCCCAGGCTGGTTTTGAACTCGCGGTGATCCTCCTGCCTCAGCCTCTGAAGTTACCCCTACCCGATTACAACCTGACCTCAGCCTCTTCCTTCTCAAAGCTAGGACCTACTCCATCTCTGTGCTTTGCTGAGCTTGTTTTAAGTAGGTGCTTTAGACCACTGAGCCATCTCACCAGCCTCAGCTTTTGGATCTGATAAGGTCAGTCAAATCCCCTCAGGATTTATCCTGAGATCCTGTACCTCAGATTGTAGAACCTTTGTCAGTGTCAGTCATGTGGATGAGTCACGGCCATTGCTTGGCCAATGTGCTCTCTGTGAAAGCCTGAGAGAATGTTTTCTCTCCATGTGACTCTCCTTAGGCACACTCTACATCATTGATCACTTTCCTCTTTGGCCCCATAATCTCCTTGATGAGAAAATTTGGGACACAACTGAGGTACATGATGTTACAGTACAAGTTCTCATATGTCCTGAGTCTTAATTGACCTTGGTAGCTTCTACATCTTTTTTTTTTTTTTTTAATTTATTTTATTTCTGTGTGTGTGGCCAGCTCAGCCCACCAGGGGGCGGGGCTGGCTGGCATGTGGTGCTGGGGGATTGAACCACGGTCCCTGTGCTTTGCTAAGGTTGTTCTAAGTAGGTGCTTTAGACCACTGAGCCATCTCACCAGCCCTAGCTTCTACATCTTAAAGACAGTGTGCAGACAGTGTCCCTATCTTTCTGGGCCTGGGTTCTCTCACCTCGTTCTGTGTCCTCTGGTGCTGGCGTGTTGCAGTAGTACCATTTCATCCTTTCTGTCTGATTCTCTGCGGTGTGTATATAGCACATTTCTTTTATCTGTCCACCCTGGGTGGGTATGTAGGCTGATTTAGCCTTGGTGTTATTGTGCCGAGTGCCCCAATAAGTTGGGGGCACCAGGAAACCTCCTGACTGCAGTTATATGAGAGGCCCGGAGCCAGAGTCACCCACTTAAGTCACTGTCAAATTCCTGAGCTGTGGTCACTGTGACGTAATATATTTCTGTTTTGCCTTGCTCTTCAGGTGCTGTGGATTAAACCCAGGTCCTTGCACATGTTAGGCTGAGTCTGTGTCACTAGGCTGCATACTAGTTCTTTTTTTATTTTTTATTTTTTGGTAGTATTAAGGATCGAACTCAGGACCTTGCACTTGCCAGGCAAACACTTGTTCCACTGAACTATCTTTCCGGCCCTATATTTTTAAATTAAATTAAAAATTTTTATTTTTTGCTTTTTTGAGGCCAGGTCTTGCTATGTAGTTTAGGGTGATCCTGAACTCACTAGGTAGCCCAGGCTGGCCTTGAACTCATAGCAATCCTCCTGCCTCAGCCTCTTGAGTGCTATTATAAGTGTGTGCCACCAGGCCTGGCCTACATTTAATTTTTTTCATACTGGATATTGAACCCAGGGTTATTGTTGCCTTAAGACACTAAATTTTGGAGCATTTCATCTCAATAGCCAAAGATAACTGAAACAGTGTCCCAGCACTTCGTTGAGGAATGTGGGAGTACCTAGCATCTATTACTTCTCTGTCTTATTGCAAATGTTACCATCTCTAGAAGGTCCTTCTTCTTCTCCTCCTCCTCCCCCCCCCCTCCTCGTACCAGGCATTGAACTCAGGACCCTGCACTTGCCAGGCAGGTGTTTATTCTACCGAACTATTTCCTGGGTCTGTCTGTCTGTCTGTCTGTCTGTCTGTCTGTCTGTCTGTCTGCTTCTCTCTCTCTCTCTCTCTCTCTCTCTCTCTCTCTCTCTCTCTCACAGGACATTGCACTTGCCAGGCAGGCACTTATGCCACTGAGCTATTTCCCGGGCCCTAGGAGACATTTCTTGCCTATCTCTCTACATTCATCCTGTCCTATCCCACTACCTCAGAAAAACACTTCATTGTATTATAAATAAAATATAATAAAGCAGACAATACTTATTTTTGTTCCTTTAGGGGTTCATTATTTCTTCTTTCTAGGTGGAAAGTCTCATGAAGGGAAGAGCTCATCTACCTTTGTCACCTATGCTTGGTGCTCGCCGGAGCCCAATGATAGGGGCTATGGCCTTTGTCACTTCCGTGTCACTTGGGGGAAAGACAAATGTATGTGTGAGATTGAGAGGGTTTCTTCTCAGGCCGAATTTGCATGTACTTGACTTTTAAAGAAAAAAGGAACCGAGAGTCCCCACAGCCCAAGGTAGGAAAGCCACACAGCAGACGCCACTGAACCCTGGCTGCGTCCTCAGTGCCCAATGCTCCTGCAGTCATGCTGAGCCTGTACAGAAACACTGCGCATCCAGGCCGGGCAGGTAGGGCCATAGCCAGGCTAGGGCGGGGGACCAGCGGTGCTCAACATCCGAGTTACTCTGCTGGCAGCTGGGGGTGAAGACCAGGGCCTGAGGGGTGGAGGAAGGAACGGGCCAGGACCTGACTAACTTTTTCTCTGGAAGGGAACATGCTACAGCAGGAGGAGGAGGAGGAGGAGGATGGAGATGACTATGAGAACACAGCGCCACCGTATAAGGACCTTCCTCCCAAGCCAGGTTAAAGGATTTCTTGGGGATCAGGTGTGGATGCTGGGGATGGTGGAGGGCTCAGGGTTGCCAGGGAACTGGCTGGGCACTGGAGACACACAGTCTCCTAGGTGGCCAGTCCAGCCCAGGCGCCATGGTGTCAGAGCCCTGGAGCGCCAACTTTCCCGTGAGGACCCTCGAGTCTGATGCGGGAGGCAGTCTGTGGTCTGTGTTGATGGAAGAGAAGGGAGGAAGGGAACGGAGAAACCCTGAGGGGGTCAAGGGCTCGCTTCCAATGATGAGGACTGGTGTCCTCATGAGAGGACACTGGCATGGATCCTGAAGGACCAGCAGGGACTAGTTAGGGTGGGTGCAGAGCTGCTGAGGCATGGAGCTGGTGTCTGGGAAACTGGCTGTTGGCTCTCCGGCACTCTTACATTTCCACCCAAGGCTGGGTCCTTTTGTTGTTCTTGGAGACCGGGTCTCACTGTCTTGCTCAAATTAGCCGTGGGCTCTAGGTCTCGGGATCCTCCTGGCTCAGCCTCCTGAGCAGCTGGGACTGGAGGTGCACATCAACATGCCAGACTCAAGACTTGGGCAACCCACCAAGGCTTGACAGGGTTCCTCAGGAGTCTGCTAAGTGAATATAAAGGCTTTTCTGAGTAGTTGTCATGAGGGGTCTTCATTCCCGCGTGGCTGAACAGAGCCACCCAAAGGGATAGGGCTTTCCTTTCTTCCTCCTGCCCTCCCCTCTCCTGTCCCCTCCCTCCCTCTCTCCTTCTCTCCTTCCTTCCTTCCTTCCTTCTTTCCTTCCTTCCTTCCTTCCTTCCTTCCTTCCTTCCTTCCTTCCTTCCTACATAGTACTGGGTGTTTGAACCCAGAGCCCTCACACTTAGCTACATCACCAGTCTTTCCAAACTTTTAAAAATTTGTGACAAGGTCTTGGTAAGTAGCTAAGATGTCCAGGCTGGGCTTGAACTCTTGATCCTCCTGCCTCAGCCTGCCAGAGTGATGGGATGACAGGCATGTGCTACCACACCAGGCTTACATCCTGCATCCCTGAGGTCCAGGGATACATGAGGCTACATGTGAGATGGAGGTGTGTTGGACTGTGATGTTGGTTTCCTTGTTGACCTCAAACTGTCTGGTTGGGATCCTCAAATTAACTCCAAGACCAAACTCTCTCCCTGACTTAGGGCCACCTCCTCCCCACATAGCCCTCTCTTTCTCCAACTCCAAATGCAGCCCACTTCCATTTCCAAGTCCAGTTTCTGCCTTTTCTTTTCTTTTTTCTTTCCTGTTCTGTTTTGTTTTGAGACAGGGTCTCACTATGTAGTCCAGGTTGGCCTTGAGCTCACTATGTAGCTCAGGCTGGTTTTGAACTTACAGTGATCCTCCTGCCTCAGCCTCTGAAGTTACCCCTACCCGATTACAACCTGACCTCAGCCTCTTCCTTCTCAAAGCTAGGACCTACTCCATCTCTTTTTCTCCCTGATTTCTGAACCTAGCAGGCCTTGCCGTTAGCCCTTCTAACCACACCCTCACTTAACATCTGTCTCAAAAAAAAAAAAAAATCTGTCTCCCACAGCTATTGCTACCTTCCTTCACCATAGTCGCCCCATCTATGGCCGCCCAATCCCAGTATGAGCTCCATCCCCACTTTTGTTTTTTAATGCATTTGGTACAGGGTCTCACTATGCAGCTTGGATTTATAGGGATCCTCCTGTTTTCAGCCTCCCCAGTGCTGGGATTACAGGTGTGCGCCACCATGCCTGGTCTCTATCTCCACTTTTGCACTCAACTGTAACCTCTGCTCAGGGTGACCAACTGTCCCATTTCCTCCAGAACTGAGGGCTTCCCTGTGATGTGGGAATCTAATCCAAGAAAAGTCTAACTGGGCTTGTCGGTGCACATCTATAACTCCAGCTACTCAGGAGGCTACCTGGGGCAATTCCATCTGTTAAAACACTCAGGCAATTCAAGATGGTTGTTCATTTTACCTTCTCTTCCTTTTCCTGTTCTTTCTTTCTTCATACTCTCCCACCTCTTTTTTTTTTTTTTTTTAAATTTTTATTTATTTATTTATTTTTTAAATCACAGGGTCTTACTATGTAGCCCAGGCTGGTCTCTCACTTGAGATCCTCCTGCCTCAGCCTCCCAAGTGCTGGGATCACAGGCACGCACCATCACACGGGCTGATCACGATGCCCTAATTCTGTCCACTCACCCTAATTCAGTTCTCCCCCCCACCTCCATCTCTACTCCCGCCTCCAGCTGTGGCCCTGCCCTTATTTCCATCACTTCCTTCAATTTTGGTCCCATCCTCACATCTGCCCTAACCCTATTTTATTTCTCTTTTCCAGGTTCAGGAGCTCCACCGAGACCACCCAAGGCAGGTAAGCTGGGGCTAGGGGTACAGAGGACCCAAAGCTGGTTTGACCCCGCTCTACACCTGAACAATCGTTCTTCCTTTGGCAGGAAATAAAGTGGAGAGCCCCACTCTTCCTCCCAAACCCCCAAGGATTACAGGTGAGCATCCAGGGCTGGGAGGTTCCTGCTCGCCTGGCGGAAGCCCTGCTCTGAATGACTGTAGCCTTTCTGCTCCTTCTTCCAGCCCTGGATCTCCCCCCAGTAACCTCTGCGTCTCCTCCCTTTGGTGAGTGCGAAAAATTCTTTAAGGAGCAAGAGAAGGGCTGCCTCGAGGTTTCTTTTTCATCCTCATTTCTGTCCAGAGGACAAAATTGATGTTGGTCTAGGGAACCAGAGTGTCGCAGCAACAAACCTCTGTCTTTTTCCTCCAAGGTGCCAACTCTCGGGAGCCTCCTCCGTTCCCGCGGCCGTCGCTAACTAGTAAGTCTTCCTTCCGGCCGTCCTTAACTAGAAAGTCTTCGACCCCTCGCGGTGTCTCCCTAGCTCCCCCTCCTGGTGAGCAGTATATTTTAACCAGAACTACATATTACTCTAGAGAGAAAACGGCAGAGGAGCTTCTTCAAAAACTGGTCCGTCCTTAAAACAAAACCTGGTCTTTCCCGCATCTAGACCAGGCTCCCAGGAGGCGGAGATGTTTCCTGGGGACTCTTAAGGTCCCTTCCTGCTTACAGCTGATATAGGAGCCAGTTGTGGTGATGCACGCCTGTAACCCCAGCGCTCTGCGTCTGGGAGGCAGCGGTTGGAGGATCACAAGTTCAAGCCCAGCCTGGGTAACTTAGCTACTTAGTGAGACACTATCTCAAAGTAAAGTTAAAAACCATAAGAAAGGGCTGGGGATGTAACTCAGTGCAAAGGCACTGGGTTTAACAGTCAGTGTTATAAAGAAAAAAAGGAGACGAGGAAAAAGAGGAGGAAAAAAAAAGGAGAAGGGCAGTAGGAAGAGACGGAGGTGAAGAAACAGGAAATGTTCTGTGTCTCCAAATTAAGGATCCACAGATCCCTTGAGTGGGGCGCTGCCTGGGCATGTGATGTTGGGGAGTAAGAAATAATGTATCATGGATATTAAGAGCAAAGTTCCACTCTCCAATGTATGACCTCTCCAAGCCTCGATTTGCTTACCTGCAAAATGGGAATAATGCTTATCTCTGCATCATGGTAGGAATGAGGCTTCCATAAGCTACGAGAGAGCACTATGGCTAGCACCTATTAATGTTCTGACCTGTGCTCTGGCTTCCTCAGTACTCTCTTGGTGTCCCTACTTGGTGACACAGACAAGATTTGAGACCTCCATCCCAGCTGCTCTTGGAGGAAGGCTCAAGGCTCCTTTCATTGCTCTGTGAAGCACCCGTATGGGTTTCTCTGTCTCCCTCCCCAGCCTCAGCAACTCCAGTGCCCTGGATCAGCCTGAAGCCTGGGGGTTCTGGGGGCCAACGGGAGGAGAGGTTGTTGATAATCCTGTGTCTGCTGGTGGTGACTTCCCTGCTCCTGAGCGGCATCAGTCTGATTGTGGCCCTTCTTAAGTGTGAGTAGGGTGGAGGGGTGGAGGTGGGGGGATATGGAGAGAGCTTGGGGGAGGGGCACGGGAGGCGGGGCTCAGGCTGGACTCTTCCTCTCCCAGACCGGCAGGTGGTGGAGGCGCTGAGCGAGGTGTCCGTCCAGCAGAGGGCATGGCGGGAGAACGGTGAGCGCTTCTGGCGTTGCTTCCAGTGCGCGTGGTCAGAACCAGCACCGGGGCTGAGCCCAGCTCCGAGCCCAGCCAGTCTCCCTCTTTGTCATATACTCAGCTGAGTACCTGGGTGGGGGTGGGAGGATCCACTGTAGTTCTTGTCACGTACCCGTGCCCGCGAAGCGTGTGCGTATGTGTGCGTGCACATGCAGACCTCCTTCTCCTCCCAACATGGTCGCACGAGCCATCTGTGGCTGTTGAGAGCTTAAAACACAGCCGGTTCAAAATTGGATGAGGCACAATGACTGTAAAGTGCACACCAATTTCATTTCTTACATCCTTTTTATTCTCTGTATATTTCAATATATAATAATTACATTCATCTTGGGGAATTGGTACACATACATATTGCATCTTAATCAATTTCATTCTCCTTTTCTCCCTGCCCTTCATTTTCCCTCCTTCCCAGTTGCATCTCCAATTTCCTCCTCCTACCTCCCCTCCCCTCCCCTCCCCTCTCCTGTTTTGAGACAGTATCTCACTACATAGTTTAGGCTGGCCTTGAACTCGTCATGTGGCCCAGGCTGGCCTCCTCCCTCAGCTTCCCAAGTGCTGGGATGACAGGTGTGCACCTACAGACCTGTCTTCTACCATCTCCCTTTTAGCTTGCTCTTTATTTTATTTATTTTTTTTTAAATTTTATTTATTTATGTGTGTGTGTATGTGTGTGTGTGTGTGTGTAGCCAGCTCAGCCCACCAGGGGGCGGTGCTGGCTGGCATGTGGTGCTGGGGGATTGAACCGTGGTCCCCGTGCTTTGCAAGCTTGTTCTAAGTAGGTGCTTTAGACCACTGAGCCATCTCACCAGCCCCAGCTTGCTCTTTAAATTATTTATATTTTCAATTTCTCATGTAAGAGAAACCATGCAACATTTAATATTGTTTGATTAGAATTATGTTTGTAAGATCCATCCATTGTTCTACAAATAACTTCTTTGTGGCTGAGCATTACTCCATTGTGCATGTGTACCACATTTGCTTTATCCATTGTGTGGTTATAAGCAGGAATATGCATGCATTGCTATAAATGATGACTTCACTCTTCTATTTATTTATTTTGTGTGTGGCCAGCTCAGCCCACCAGGGGGCGGGGCTGGCAGGTGTGTGGTGCTGGGGGATTGAACCGTGGTCCCTGTGCTTTTGCTTAGCATGTTCTAAGTAGGTGCTTTAGACCACTGAGACATCTCACCAGCCCGATGACTTCACTCTTTTGGAAAGATACCTGGAAGAGAGATGGTTGGGTCAAATGGAATTTCTCCTTTTCTTTTTTTCCCCCCGGGAATGTTCTGACCGATTTTCATAGTAGTTCTACTAGTTTATGTTCACACCTCCAGTGTGGGAAATTTTCTCTCCCTGCGCACTCTTCCCAGGCTAGTGTTTCTAGAATGAAATGGAATAGAATAAGAGTAAGATGTCCCAATTTGGTGAAAGATGCTAAACTTGCTTCAAGAAACAATGGAGTACATATTGAAATATAATATTGAGGATATATAGGGATACGTTAAAAATAGCACTTGATTATTTTTGGTGCTGCTGCTGATAGAACACGGGGCCTCATAATACACAGTAGGTAAATGTGCTGTCTTTTTTTTTTTTTTTTTGGTACCAGGGGTTGAACTCAGGACCTTATGCTGGCCAAACAGGCACTTAAGCCACTGAGCTATCTCTCTGGCCCGATGCTCTATTATTGAACAGCATCCTCAGCCTTCAATTTAATGTTACTTATTTCTCTTGACTTAAAGATATGATCATATTCAGGTGTGGGAACATATGCTTGTATTCCCAGGCATTTAGGAGGCTGAGGTAGGAGGATCACAAGTTTAAGGCCATAGTTGGCAATTTAATGAGAACTTGTCTCAAAATAAAATAAAAGTAGCAGCTACTAACAAATTTAAAATTGCACAGCCAGGTGTGGGGGTGCACATTTGTGATTCTAGCATCCAGGAGGCTGAATGTTTGAGGCTGTGAGGTTTTTTTCCCATAATTTTATTGAGAAACAAATAGCAATGAGACAGTTTCAAACCAAATTGGCAGGACAGTTTCAATAATTAACACATTGCATACGTTCTTCGTAGTGGTTAATTGCTGTACAAGATGTGGACATGATATCCTATTTACAAACACTATTAGAACAAATCCCTCTATTCATTAAGAGAATATAACTATATATCTATCCTAACCATTTTCAATACACAGATACAAAATGGACATTCATCTGTATCCCCTTTTTTTTGTTTAGTTCCATTATTTGAATATTATAGGTGTGTTAACTCAGTAAAATATTCTAAAAAAGAGTCCAGTAGTCCATAATAGTATTGGGTCTTCCGCTTCACTGGCAATGTCAGAAATTGTTGACCTGAGTCCCCTACAGCTCAACATAACAGCATGGCTTTACTTCCTTTTTTAAAAAAATTTTATTTATTTATGTGTGTGTGTGTGTGTGTGTGTGTGTGGCCAGCTCAGCCCACCAGGGGGCGGGTCTGGCTGGCATGTGGTGCTGGGGGATTGAACTGTGGTCCCTGTGCTTTGCTAAGCTTGTTCCAAGTAGGTGCTTTAGACCACTGAGCCATCTCACCAGCCCTGGCTTTACTTCTTATACTTGTTTTTTATACTTTTCTGCTGGATGGTTAAGACCAAGATAAAGCAAGACCTATGCAACAAGAGTTGTAGCTTTTGGGTGTGATAAGGTCAGTGAAATCCCCTCAGGATTTATCCTGAGATCCTGTACCTCAGATTGTAGATCCTTTGTCAGTGTCAGCCATGTGGATGAGTCACGGCCATTGCTTGGACAATGTGCTCTCTGTGAAAGTGAGGCTGTGAATTTGAGGCCAGCCTGGGCTACAGAGTTGAAGACCAGCCTGAACTGCATAGTGAGACCCTGTCTCAAAGCAAAAACCAAAACCAAAGAACACCAATCCCCGCTTCCAAATTGCACAACTAATTCACACTGGGTTTCTTTTTCTTTCTTTCTTTTTTTTCTTTTCTTTTCTTTTCTTTCCTCTTTCCTTCCTTCCTTCCTTCCTTCCTTCCTTCCTTCCTTCCTTCCTTCCTTCTTTCTTTCTTTCTTTCTTTCTTTCTTTCTTTCTTTCTTTCTTTCTTCCCGATTTCAGCCCACTGCACTAGAGCCCAGGTGCAGGCTCCTCTTGCTTTTCTCTTGGTGTCTGCAGCTGGTGAGTGGGGGAGGATGGAGGTGGTGCCGAGTCTCTAACCCTCTAACCCTCTGGCCTGTCCTCTCTGACAGTGACTGGCGGAATGGGGCTGGCAGGCCTGAGGAAGGACATTGACCGTGTAAGAGCTGACACAAACCAGTCGCTGGTGGAACTTCAGGGCTTATTAAGTGAGTGGGACTTGGGGGACTGCTCAGATAGGGATGGCATGGCAGAGCTGGCCCTGTGGCGTTGGTCAACAAGAGAAACTTTTCTCTGCTACCCCTTGGAGTTGACTAGGTTTTATCCTGTATTGAAAATCTGTGCACCTGGGTATACTGTGTCTGTAATACCCTTTCCCTGAAAAAAATTACGTGGTCTTAGGCAAAGAGTGCATGACTCCTCTAAAATGTATTATAGCATTTTCTTACCTTCTTTCATGGCTTACATGCATGTGGGGGTCATTCCTAAGTGAGTACATTTTTTAAAAATTTATTTTTAACATAGCTAAATGAACTTTATTACTACACAGTTCAGACTCGTAGTGATCCTCCTGCCTCAGCCTCCCCAGTGCTGGGCTTAGAGGTGTGTGCCACCATGACCGGATGGAGAGAAGCTTTGACTGACACTTCAGCTACTCGCCAGCTTCTTTGAAAAGTACCTGCCTATACTGATTTGAAGCTTTACATATTTCTACGAATTTACCAGCCATCTACAATTTGTGAAATCAGTTTTGTTACATTTTTATGACTTAATACATCACTGCTCTGCTAGTCTGTGTGACCTCACCACCGCCCAGGGCACACGGTGTGGCTCACGATGCCAGAGCCTCCTCCTGACCACATACTCTCTTGTCTCCAGAGTGTGCCAGGGTCACCTGCCCTGAGAAGTGGCTGCCCTTTGAGAACAAGTGCTACTACTTCTCGTCGAGGACCAAGTCATGGGATGAGGCCCGGATGTTCTGCCAGGATAACTACTCTCACTTGGTCATCATCAATAGCCTGGCCGAGCACGTGAGCCACCCCCGCTGGGCCCTTGGGAACCTGCAGGGCCAGCCGGGAGTCACAGACTCTCTAACTGTCGGGATGGAGAGAGATTAGATTTACTCTTGAATTACTAAAATGGGTGTGGTGGCACAGGCCTGTAATCCTGGTGAGTTCCAGGCCAGCCTGGACGATGTAGTGAGACCTGTAGAGATTTGTTGGTCTCTCGGTCGTCCCTGGAAGAAAACGGCAGGAAGTTTTAGAAAATAAAAACAAGAGACAATAGGTGAGGTCAGGTGAGGGGCCATGCCTGATTGGCAAAGTGCCCCCGAACAGCAGTAAGGGCGTTTATTTATACCTTTGCAAAGTTGTAAGACACAAGGTTGCCCACCGACTAATAGCTGACAGTGTCCAGGCAGGATGTTTTCTCAAGACTGAGGTGGTTGGACTGTTTCAGACAATGATGCTTCATCTTGCCCTCCCACATATGATCAATTTCAGCTTCAGCAGCTCCCAACAGAGACCCTATCTCAAAAA